TGAGGACAGTCTGGGGGTGAGGACAGTCTCAGGATGAGGACAGTCTGTGGATGAGGACAGTCTGGGGTTGAGGACAGTCTGCGGGTGAGGACAGTTTCTAGGGGGAGACAGAATGTTCAGCCCTTACTGCTGTGGGGGAGCCAGGTGAGGGGCTGGTACTTGTCTCTGATTGGCTGGTACTTGTCTCTGATTGGCTGGTACTTGTCTCTGATTGGCTGCAGAGCACTGCTAGAGGCGGGGCCTATTGGTAGAGGCGTGGCCTCCCTGTCGTCATCCTCCTCCCCCTCAGACAGCAGGTCGCAGATCTGCTGCTGGAGCTCCGGACTGATGTCATTCTCAGCCAGAACCAGAACCCGCAGGCTGGTCGGGTAGTTCTCCACCATGTCCAGGAACACCTGCAGAACATCCAAAAAGCTTTATTCACACAGCAGGAGGTAACATGACACCTGTCCATCCAGGTAGCACCTCTGCGGGAGGAGTCAGTCGACATGCTGCTCATTGGTTCACGTCCAGCTGAGGGCTCTAAAACAACCAGACTCATCAGCCTCCCTTATTTTAGTGTGTTGCTGTTTGTTTTGATGTTTGTGTTGTTTATGTTGATGTTTGTTGATGTTGGGGTGTCCTTTGTTGGGTTGCTCCCGGCCTGTGTGTGTCAGATAGGTTCAGTGCTGCAGTGTCTCCCCCTGCTGGACCAACACGTCAACTACAGACTGACAGAGTGCAGACCTCCATCCTTGGTCCGAACCAGTCCAGCAGGACTGACACTGCAGCGCTGCTGGTACCACTGTGATGATGAGAACAGAAGAAGAGAATCGAGCTCTGTGATTAGTCGACCTGTGCTGAGTGGTTGGTCAGTCCGGTTCCTTCCAGGTCCAAAACCTCCAGGGTTCTGCTGGAAGCCACGGCAACCGCCAACATCCCTGCAATCTGATCACCTGTTGACAGAACAAGAACATTAGCATCAGAACCATCAGAACCTGACCTGATCACCATGTCCAGGTGTGTTTGCTGTCATGATGGTAACTTGTTGTGCTGCTGTTACCCAGCGGGTTGTAGTCCAGGTTCAGAACTCGGAGCTGAGAGCTGTGAGCCACAGCAATGGAGAGTCGAGCCCAACCTTTGGAGCTGATTCCTGGGTTAGCGCTCAGAGTCAGCTCCCTCAGACCTGCACACACACACACACACACACACACACACACACACACACACACACACACACACACACACACACACACACACACACACAGCCGGCTGTGAGCGCAGACACACACTCTGTCCGTTCAGCTCTGAGTCGACAAACTGAAGCTGCTGTTTGAGCTGCCAGAGTCCACAGAGAAAATGACCAAATGAACAGATGGTGTCTGTGTGAGTCTGTGTGTGATTCCTCTTGTGTTAATGTGAGAGTGATGAGTTAAATCTCCCAGAATTCCTAGCTGTTCGCTGATGGCAGCGTGTGGACATCTGAGCTGATGAATTGAGGTTACCTGAGCCTGAAATAAACTCCCAGGAGAGCAGACGTCCTGCAGCTCCCTTAAATTGAGGATTAATTCAGTGAGCTTCTGAATGAGGACAACATTACACCGGAGTCATACCTGAGACCTGAGCTTCAGAAGCCACACCTGACACACCTATGGAGCTAACGTGGGGGTGTTTGTTGCTAGGTGGTCTCTACCTGGTTGCTAAGGTATCTAGTGATTGCTGTTGCTCAGGGGGCACCAGGTGGTTCCATGCATCTTTTGGATGGTTGCTATGATGTTGCTAAGTGGTTGCCAGGGTGTCTCGGCCAGTTGTTTGGGTGGTACCAGACGGTTGCTGGGTGGTTACCTGGAGGTTACCTGGAGGTTGTCAGGCATGCCTCAGGGTTCACGGTGGTTGCTGCAATTACTGCTGTGCATTTACCATGTGGTTGCTAAGGTTGATGTTGCCAAGGGAGCTCCATCTGGATGCTGTAGCGATGCTACGATGTTGCTTACATGTTGTGGCTGTATGTCTGAGCAGATCCTCAGTCATCAAGGTCATGGTGGTCCTTGGAGCTTCAGTTAAACCAAATGGACTTCTCTTTTAGCTTCTTGAAGACTCTCCCCCTCATCCAAAGTTCTTCTTCAGTTCTGACTGATGGGGAGTTACACAGTTTTATAGGTGAGGTGGAGTGACTATAAACACCTGAAACTCGCTATCAGTCAGCTAGAGGACAACCTTGGATGAAGGTGGAACATTTTCAAGGACCTTAAAGAAAAGTCCAGTTGGTTTAACTGAAGCTCCTACGATTATGTTGTGGCTGCAACCTCAGCAGGATGCTTGCAATGGTGTTCCAGGGTATCATCATGGCGTTGCCAGGTGGTTTTCCACAGCCACCCATCTCAGGTGTATCTCAGGTGCCCTCAGGTGTTCCTTACCTGACTTTGCTCCGTCCGGCGGCAGCATCCCACAGATCAGACCCAGAGCTTCGTCTCCCAGCATGCAGTCTCCCAGGTCCAGGCAGACAAGCGTGGGGTGGGTCGACAGGGCAGCGTTCAGGGTCACCAGCCCGGCGTCCAGCAGTGGGCTGCCGTGGAGACTGTGGGTGGGGCCAGAGTCAAACAAACCAATCAGAGTACAGAACGAAGCCCAGTGGTTCACGTGAGGTGGGTGCATTACTCACAACAGGGTCTGCAGGGAGCGGTTGTTCTTCAGAGCGTCAGCCAGGTGTCTGGTCCGGCTGATGCTGGAGACAACGCCCAGGTTCAGGTTCAGCTGCGCAATCGAATGCGACTCTGCGACGCTGCGACAGACGCGTCCGAAGTCGCGGTCAGAGAGCTGACAGCCGCGGACGGACAGGAGCCGGACGCTGTCCTCCTTCAGGCTCTCACAGATGTCCTGGACCTCCGCCGCCGACAGCAGCTCACCTGTGATCTGGATGGAAGCTGGCAGCATGCTGGGAGCACTGGGAGCCCTGGGACACCTGCAGGCACAAACACACCTGTCTGAACCAGGAGCCCCCTGCTGGTGAAACACAGGTACCCCTGCTGTAACCTGACACCAGCTGGCAGGCTCCTGTTTGTTTTCATCCAATAAGAAACTGACAAGTGATGATCAATGGAAACTAATCAGACTGATTGATCACTTTAATCAGATTCGCTCCTATGCAGTCGACTCTGATAACTTGACAACAAATGTATTGCTCAGTTTGGCGAAGATCAATACTGAATCAGTTTGGATCAATAGTTTCAGCTGCTGTCATCAGCCAAGAACAGAAAACTGATCAGCTGATCAATGATGAACACCAGAGCTTATTAATAATCAGTGAATAAAATGTATTGATTAGCAGGTACCTGCTGCTCTGTGGAGCCGATCAGCTGATTAGCTGATCAATCATGCGATGATTGGAATGAAGCGACCGATTAAGCCGAGAAATGATCGATCAGCTCACGCGGGGGGGTCGGGACCATCACACGCTGATGTCATCATTGGCTGATCCCGCCGCAGGCCACGCGCCGGTTCTGATCGGCGGCGGACATCCGAGTGATCGATCCGGTATCGATTGTTGGGGTTTGATCGCAGCAGAGCGGCTTGGGGTCGGTGTCCTGCAGCCGAGCAGGAGGTCCGTCGGTCGGTCGGTGAGCTCCGTGAGTCCCGGTGTGTTTCTGCAGGTGACCGTTACTACGAGACAGAGACAGGAGGAGGCAGGAGGGCTCACTCTGACCCAGAACCCGGGACCAAACACAGCAACATGCAACAAGAGCAACAGTGATTATTGATCGATTTATAAATTGTTGGTGGATTTGATTTTAACTGAATTTAATTCAAAGTGACATTTAATTGGTCAGAATAGGTGTTAGGTGTCTATTGAAGACATTTACTTTCCCTACAGAATCCAATTCACTGTATTTTACGGCCTTGTTTTATAATTGTGTTTTATATAATTTCAGTTTATTTAAAAAAAAAAAATCTTTTTGGATGTCAAACACTTTGATCTATCCTCACTTTATGAATAAATGATAATATTAATAATGTATAAGTAAAAAGTGAAATGAGTGAAAGCTGCAAGACATAGAAATGTTACGTTTAGATTTTAAATATATTTAAAAACAATTTAATAAAGTCAATCTCATCAGAGTAACTCCTCCTGTTTATTACACGAGCTTTACAGGTTTACGTCACTTCCGTCTAAGCTTCGCTTTAATCCGACTGGCGTCGTCATGGAGACAAAAAGATTTTGTTTTTTAAAAAATAATTATCTATTGTTTAATGATACTAATTACTAACTGACTGATTGTCATTCATTATGACTGATCAGCTCCTATTTAATAAAAAGACAATTAAAGCTGATGACTGAGGATGAAACTGGAGAAAACGCGCCCCCTGCTGGACAAACATCATACATGAACTTCACCGTCTGGATCTTTGAAGGAGCTGATGGAGGATTTATTCATTAACCAGGTGGACCACGGTGCTCTAAAAGGAACCAGAAAGTAGTGTCAAAAATGTGGCTCATACCGGAAGTGACACACATGAAACACCTGAGGACGTCCATCTGAATAAACCTCCAGGAATCCCTCCCGAGAATCTGTCTGTTTTTAGTTTTCTTCTTTCGTATTGCAGTGAGCATTGAATGTTTTATCTCATTGTATTTATTTGTCATTTCGTTTCAAACAGAAGCTACTGATTGTGGATTCGGCTTAGCTTGTTTACAGATAACGAAGACAGGCTAATAATCCGCCTGTAGTCTTTAGAATGTACAGCAGCCTTTTTAAAAAAAATCTGTTTTATTTTCTCCTCATAGTGACTGAACAGCATCACGTGAGGTCACACACTGATTTGTAACCGGCTGCTTAACATTTGCATCAAATTATTTTACTTCATGAACGCGACGCGCTGCTGGACGTTTAAATTAATAGAAGAAATTACAATGAAAATCCTATTTTAAATAATTTACAAAACAAGCTTTAATTTATACATTTTCTTGTATTTTAAATTGTGTTAAAAAAAAAATGTTTGCGTCAGACGTTAAGATTTGTTGCGATGACGTCATGACGTAAGGAAGTTTGTGATCAGCGGTGCAGCTAGCAGCGGCTAACGGCTAGCGGCTAACCACAGAAGCCCGGAGCAGAGGGACAGACGGACGGACGGACAGGTAAAACACCTCACCTGAGGAGATCATTACTGTGATAATCACAAATAACAACAACAACAACAACAACAACAACAGCAACACGAGCGTTTAACCAGCAGATAAACAAACGTAGGGAAGCAGGCAGCTGTTAGCTTTGTTAGCTGTGTGCAGCTCCAGCCAAGTGTTCATCATCTCCATCATCTTCATCACGTACTTGAGCGGCAGCGGAGTGTCGATCCGGCTGTCAGAGACCGACTGGAACTGCAGGCGGAGCGGGAATAGAACCGAGAACCTGTGGGCTGCCCGGCTTCAACAGCCCGGTGAATAACCTCGGAGCTAACGGTTAGCTCAGGTTTTATACAAACCCTGCATCCAGAACAGCAGTTTTTTGCTTCGTGCAGTAACAGTACACAGAAGTAGAAGTGTGTAGGATTTTGACTGCAGGACGTGTACTTGTACTGCAGCTGTTACTGCAGTCAAAGATCCAGCTGTGCTCCGAGATATTAGCAGCTGTCAGGTTCATGTAGTGCAGCAACATTACACTGTTTTCCTCTGAACTCTGGTACAGCAGGATCTGTCCGTCTGTCTGTCTGTCTGTCTGCAGTCTCTAACCTCTCTGTCTGTCTGTCTGTCTGTCCCTCCCCAGCCTGTCTGTCTCTGTGGATGGAAGTGTCTGCGATGGGACCAGAGCGAGTGTTTCCGAGCTCGGAGGACCAGCTGGGGGAGGACGAGCGTCCGGCGGACGGAGCGCTGCTGGTGGGGGGGGCGGTGTGGAG